GGATCTTCCCAGAGCTGAGGGAATGTGTCAGCCTGAGAAGGAGGAGATGAGGAAGGAGGAGGAACTCTACGATGCTCCACACACAGAAAGTGGTTTGCACCACTGACTGCTACAAACTCAGCTAGTGCAGGAGCTGAGCACAGGGCAGGAGTGTCACATCTGAGCTAAAGTGCTGAGCACACTGTCACATAGGCAGTTTGTAGTCAAATCTGCTATTATCCCTGATTTTAACTATGGAGCCAAGTCTGGAAGATGAAGGTGTGTAAGACTTAGCAAAAAAGAGAGGGCTTTACCCAGAGCACCATAAGCCAGAGGGTTTAATCAGATGCTCTGAAAGACCTGCCTGGAGAACAGGGACTTGAGTGAAAAGAAATAAAAGATAATAATAGTAATAAATACATGATAATAGAAGGTAAAATAATGAATAATAGTAATCATAATAAAAGGAACAATGACAGACAACTGAGAACAAAACTGTGGCATAAGAAATGAGAGCTGATGGCTGGGAGGGGAGGGCAGCAGGGAGGAGGAGGAGGAGGAGGACAGAGGGGGTTCAGGAGAGTCTCCAGCATCCCTGGGGACTTACCAGCTTCACCCCTGACAGCACTTCCAGGAGGGAGATGAGGTTGTGGCCATCTCGTAAGTCTTCGTAGAGGTCATTGATGTGCTTGCGCACCTGGGGAGAGGAGAAGCCATGAGATTTGCTCTCCTGCTGTTTGGAAGAGCATGGGAGGGAGGCAGCAGAATCTGACAGTAGATATCTCCCTCCAAACTATGTCCATTTCAAATGGTTACTCCAGGATTATTGCCAAGGAGAGCAGTTTTCCCACTCCCAGGTGACCTGGCAGAAGCTGCTGCCAGTTTTACACGTAAAATCAAACAGTTAAACCATCCATACTCCAGGTAATCCTGTAATACTGCACATGGATCCCTGCAGGAAGGGTAGCTCCCCCCAGGGCAATGGTTTAACTTCTCCCATGCCTTACAGCATCTCCCCAAACACAGTTCTGCTTCCACCTGGGAGCAGAGGAGTTTTCCATGGGTAGCACAGCTGCAGGAGCAGGCTGACCATGTGCAGC